CCAAGGCAGTGACTTGGCTTTTCCTGTTGAATGTTTTATATGATCTTTTTCAGTGCCCAGTCCTGTTACAAATCTTTTTGCAATTGGCCCCCTTTAAGAGTCTCTGACAGTAAGATTGTCAGATAACACTGGTTACAGAGATGGGGTGAAGAAATCCTCCCCAATTAAAAAAAAAATTGTGATTTTCTTTTTAAGTAAAACAAACACAAAAATATAAATTCTTAGTTCTATTCACTTTTACAAGCTTTTGAGACCAGAAAGACACATCTGGATTGATTTAATATGGTTCCATCTAGAGGCTAGACCCTGGGTAAGACAAGTGTTTTAGGTTTTTCCAGCCCTCTTAGGAGAAAAACGGACTTGTAAAAAACAGGACAAACCCTCAGCCTTTGAGATGAGTGGGAACCTGTAGCTATCTTGGCACTTGGTGCTGATTACTGCAGGTTGCTGTCTCCTCCTGGTGGTCATTAGCTAGGCCTACATGCAGAGACAATACAAGAAAGAGCCATTCTTTCCTTGTTCCCTAATGCCCTGCTGGACATGGACATCCATTCCTATTCATACCTAAAGTTATGGATAAATCTAGAGCACTGTTAAACAACACATGCTCTATCATATCACCTTCATCATGACCCAGAAGTCCACACTCAGAAAAATTTCCAAACTCCTTAGAGTACTACGCCGTACACAGAGATGCAGAAGTAGTTTGTCTTGGGCCCAGCAGCATGCTACTGCTCCCAGGGCTGCTCCAACATGCCTGTGACCTCCTAGTGCATTGGGCTAAGTCCCTCTGCAAACTGCAAGGAGCCCCTCCTCCTCACACAGTCACTGTACACCGGTACTGGTGGTAGAATTAGGAGCAAACTCAGGCCAGAGGAACACAGGCTCTTGTGGGATTCTTGAGACAAATTTTGCAAAGCATTCTAGGGTCCCAGGCATCGAGAGCATAATCGTGAAGGTAGGGACAGTGACATGGGCTCAACCAAGGCAATTGAGGTATACAAACCAGCTTGGCTGATTCTCCTGGTATGAGCGCTGCAAGTCCCAGGTCCTGGGAAGCCTTCATCAGCGCACGCAAGCCTCTGTTCTCAGTCTTGCATGATCAAAAGAGTAAAGAAAAGTTGTGACATCTATAAAGAAGCCCTTCCCAGTAAGGACAAAATGTGACACTGCTTTTAGTATTAGATGGATATGACACAGATGGCCTCTCTTTCATCACCATTGTCACATTTTTTCTCTCTGCTCACTGATACTGACAACTGATTTGTGGTTCTCAACACTAAGTCTCCCCCTTTGGTTCCCTGGGTGGCATAAGTGTGTAACTTACATGCAGTATAAGTGTGAGGAACAGCAGTCTGTCTTTGACTCTGTCTGCAGATAGACAGTTGTGCTATATCCAGACAGTAGGAACTTGAAATTTTACACTGTGAAATTATGATTATGTTTTCAAACCATCTGCATATTATTTATGGAAGTAGTCTGATGATGAATTACTACTAATTGTCACATTAATTGATTAGCAGATGTCATAAGTCTTAAATAAAAGCATTCAGGCAACAGAAAGATAATGCAAAGTATAATTTCAAATGGATTGTTATTTTGCATATTGTAATGATACAATAATAACACAGTTGGTTTTCTAAAATGCTGGTTATCCCAAGGGAAGTTTTGTGGCCCGAGGATGCCTCGTCGTGGGAGGAGGAACACGGACTGCAGGGGACAGGATGGGGCCGGGGAAGCTGCCGCTCTTGGTTTCTAACAGAGAACAGGTGCAATCTCTGATATCTTAAGCAGGAGCGAGTCTTTATGAACAACTAAACAGTAAATGCATAGTTAGTCTGATGTCTCTACAGTGCCATAGAAGCAGTTCAATAGATTTGTGAGTTTACAAAGGAAATGACTTTGCAAAAAATTCATTTATTTTTTGATGAGGCCTACACTCAAGAACTTAGGTTTTTTAATGTTACTGGGGAGCAGATGCTAAACTGCAAAAATTAACTGGCACTTGCATTTCAGAAAGCAATCATATCCGACTTCTTTATTAAGTTTACTGTTAAGTGAGCAAAGAAAAAAAGTATTTCTTCCATTAGCAAAGCAAATAAAACATCTGTGCACAAAGAATGCAATACAGACATTGGAGGGTGAATTTTATTGTTGTGGAAGGGACAGTTGACTTGTAGGTATGGAAAGTTTTGTAGGCCTGACACCAGTCAGGCATAGTGGTGCACACTGGTAATCTTAGCACTCAGGAAGCTGAGTCAGAAAGATCGCTGTGAGTTCACAGCCAGCCTGGAGTACATAGGAAGACCAAAAAAAAAAAAGGAAAAAGGTTTTGTATTCTAGATCTTAAATTGAATAAGAGCGTAAGAGCTCAGGATTCTAAGAAATTCCCCTCCCTCCTTTCCTCTTCTCCCTCTCTCCTTCCATTCATCTCTCTCTCTCTCTTTCTCTCTCTCTCTCTCTCCCTTTCTCTCTCACTCTCTTTCTCTTTCTCTCTTTCTCTCTCCTCTGCTCCTTTTCTCTTTATTGTGGGAGAAGGTTTAGTTTTATTCACTTTTAGTCCTGGTTTAGAGACAACACAAAATGAATTTGAGACTAACCTTGTGGGAAGGGAGCTCACTTCTGCCTCACACTCTGTAGAGTGAGAGATCTCTATGTCCGAGTTTGAGGCAGTTCCACCCAGATTCAGCCCAGAGTTGGGAGGTCAGGGCCTTTGACAGCTGCGTCACATATTACAAGTTGCCATGTTGTCCAGCTACTATTTCTTTAATGTTTGTGCATGTGCTTGTTTTTAAAATCATCCTAGGAAGTCTCCTTAACATTACCAAATGGAATCTAGCTGCATGTGAGCACAACCTTCAAAAGAGTCAGGGTCTCCTTGTCCCTGGTAGTGGTGAGCAGCTTGGCCACACAACTGGCAGTGAATATGTGCACTGGTGTGGCCTTCAAGATCTCGTCCTCCCTTCGTAGGTGAGAGTTCACCCTGCACTGCCAGTCTCAGGAGCACTGCATTCTCATTTTCATTAAGAGATAATATTCCCACAGGCTGGGTGTATGGCTCAGCTGTAAAGTTGGCTCTGTGTTAATCCTGTCAGTCTGAGGGCCAAGGGCTGAGGACTGAAGAGGATGACATGTTGCCCTTTTAGTTCCCAGTCAGACTTCCTGCCATTTTCCCACGTGCACCTCCAGGATTTGACGAAACATCTCCACTCTATTCATGTCATGGCTTGTTTGGGGGTCACATTATCCATTTTCTTTACCATGTACTAGGAGGTAGACACCCATTTCCAGCTGCTCTTTTGTCTTGCAGGGAGACCTCCATAATGTCCTCAAGACAAAGCCATGCAAACACTAGTGATATAATCACTAGTTATTTATGCCTCCATGTAGAGATGGTTTCCAATTTAGGACTTTGGGATTTTACAGTGATGTGAAAACAATATGCATTCAGTAGAAACCATGCCTTGAATTCAAATGCGGAGCCACCCCGAGACCACCAGGGTTCACAATGGATTCTCTGCAGTGGACAGGGTTGCTGAGCTGTGATGTTCCGTAGGTTGGGTATATTGAGTGCATTTTAACTTATGATATGTTTATTGGAACGTAACTCTATTTTAAGTTGGAAAACATCTGTTTGAGCTCCAAACAGTAATTATGACGTGTCTTTTTTCACAGTTGAGTAAATTGTGGCTCTGAACAGTTATGCAACGTGCATTAGCTTAAAATTTGATGGTGCTGGAATACAAATGGAGGTATTTCGCTCCTGGAGCCCACGGTTTTTCTGACTTTCACTTCTAGCATCCTCACGAGATTAAGGGGGATTTTAGGGCTGTGAAGACTATGGATCCCAGTCATGAGGAACATGGTGTTTTCTTTCCAACTGGGATTTGTACCCAGTTCTGAACCCAGCTTCACACCCAAGTAACATTTCATTAATTTCCTTACCTTTGTTCCAGGCAAGACCCCTCTGTTTTCTATATCTACCCAGAAACCCATCCTATCAACTTGCTTTTATAAGAATAGTAAATAGGATTGGGAGCTTCTGAAACTGATTGAGAGTCATGCTGTTTAAAAGCAAGGGGAAGGTCTTATTCTAAAAGGTGCATGTTTGTCGCTTGAGAGTGACAGCAGGGAGGAACAAGGCTCTCTGCCCCCAACCCAGGGCTTCTCCCCGTCCCAGGCCCTGCTGTGGCCCAGCGCACACCTGGCCCTGTAGGGTGGACTGACACAGAGTAAATCAAAGGGAAAGAAAGATTACCATCCTCATATTTTGAAATTCAAGGTAGACTTTTCAAGCTCAAGACAGGAACAGCGTGTGGGAGGAAAAGTCTTTGTGAATGATAACAGCCAAGGCCTTTAGAGATCATGCTCTGACCCCAACAACGGGTGGAGAGAACACTGCTGGAAACAGAGCTCACCCTCAGCCACCCATAAGACGCAGGGTTCTCTCTGTCTGCGTGACAGACCCAGAGGGGAGCATTGCTGACTGTCTCCTGTCGTACCCCATCTCCCAGTCTTTGACATCTCCTGTCCCAGCACTGGGGACCTGGGGATAGGAGACAGCAAGGCCTGCAGTGCCTTCGACTTGCTTGGCCAGTGCTAGAGAATGGAGATGGCAGAGATCAGTGCTGCGCAGATGCCCTCAGTTGGCCTACGGTCCCCAGCACTCTGAAGAAATGGGGAGGAATCCAGTGGCCCTCTACTAGCACGACAGGGCTTTGAGGAATCTGAGAGATCTTTGTCCAAGGGGAGAAACACTGCCAGATCCCCTTGCCCATTGTCTCCACGGGAAGGGGACTTTCAGAAAAAGGCCACTCGGTGACCCTGTGCTTGTCACGGGTGCCGTCATGGTAGATAGACCTCCTGGACTTCAGACGCAACCCCAGGTATATATATGTATAGAAGGGAGGGCTTCAATTAATGTCATTTACTATGAATTAGTAGTGTTAAAGTCTGCTTTTCTCCTATTGTGGAATAAGACTTTGAGATAGAAACCAAGATGATAAAAATAGTTACATTTATTTGCACACTTAAACATGTAAATTTACTATACATTCCTAGTTGGCTCATTTATTTTTGAGGGGTCAATTAATTCATTTTACAAGCATAGACTTCCAGTGTATGGAGTACAAAACATTCTTCTAAAAATAAAGAAGAGAATTAAAATAGAATTTGCAAAACTATACAACATGTGAAAAAGTCTCTCGGGCCCCCACGTCATTAACTATTCATTTTCTCACCGTGCCTTCCAAGTTTTTACTGTCAACATCCTCTTCCCCACACATCTCCACTGGCGCATTCCCCACTTCCTGCCACCAAATTCAGAACTTGCAGGGAGAGAGGGCTGGTCGGGAGTCAAAGAAAGCACTGTTCTAATCCTTGAGCAACTGAATAAAGCGAATTTTCCCTCTGAAAATACTATCAACAAGGCAATCTGTGTATGGGCAATTTTGTTTGGGTTGTGAAATTTAGATTGGTTTTCTCTTACCTGGCACAGGAAGTGGGAAACAGCAGCTCTGCAGGGCTCGGAATAGGGAAGAGTCCACAGCTGCTGGCTGTTGGGCAGTGATGAGCCAGGGCAGGAGTATTTCCAGCCACATAAACTCTGCTCTCAGACATGGCTGTCAGCAAAGGAGCACATGGCATTCTACAGAGCAGAGCCCATTCCCTCATTGTCCAGCCCACCTACCCCCTCCTGGGGGCTGTGCCCTGCTGGGGAGAAGGTGGCTCCCTGGCCCTGGGGGTGGAGAATGGCCTCCAGAGTCCGATCCCTGACGCTCTTCAGGAAGCTCAGAACTGCAGACCCACCAGTGCCTCTGTTTTCTAGAGCCTGTGGGGGTTCTGGGAGATGGCTTGGCCTCCTGCTCCTGGCTTTGGCTGCAGCTGTGATGAGGTATTTGGTCACTATGGTGATGTGGTAGCTGCGCAGCTCCACCAGGGCCTCCAGACATAGGTTATAAGCTTCCAGACAGCGGGCATGGCCAGGGGCCAGGACGTAGTCCCTCAGCGAAGGAGCCGAGTGGATTTCTTCTAGGAAGGCCTTATGTGAGGGAGGCATGTAGTCCCTCATTCTGTACAGAAAGTCAGCTGAAAGAAACCAACCACAGGAATGGCTTAGATACACACAGACCACAGCATAGCCTGCCCACCCTCAGGACACCAGGAACTGTGGGTGGGGTCCTAACTCAATCTACTGGTTGACTCTTTGGCTTGTAGACATCAAATATTCAAATGTGTCCCAAACAAAACTGTTGAAAGGAGATAGGAAAGAGAAAAGAAGTTAGCACGTCTCAGATAACTGAGTCAGAATTAGCTCTCTCTGTCATACCCAGTTTCTAGCTACTACAAAAGATAACTAAAAGTGTAAGACACAGACTCTTAAGCTGATTAGCTAAATATTCTGATGAATTTTGTTTCTTAAGTGCTTTTTTGCTTTCCTGAAGGGAATGCTAAGGAAGAAAAGAAAAGGAAGTGTATATATGAACAGAAAAATAAAGAATGAGAACCATTTTAGTAATAGTCACTTGAAGCTAACTTATTTAAAATTCAAGAAGCGGCCTGTGGGTATAGCTCAGTGTTAGAGCCCTTTCCTGGTACAAGCAATGGCATGGGTTCAATTTCCAGTTCTGAAAAAAAAAATCACATCATAAGATACTATAGGTGATTCGTTATATGCTTAGCATTAAATGTAGTAAATCCATGAATGATATTTCCAAATGCTAAAGGCCATGGCAAACTATTATAGGTATAGAGAATTGCTTTTTGTGATGAGACTAGACTCTTTGCTAGTGTTGGTCATTTTTGTCTAATTCAACTTGAAAACTTTAGAGTAACAAGTGTCTTTTGCAGCTGCTAAGCACGTAGCTTGATGCTGGCAGGTAAGGAAATGAGCAGTTTCAAGCTTCTGAAATATAGTTCCCCTACTTCCAGTTCAAATGGATTTAGGTAGAAACTGTCATTTCTGGGGAAGCAGGACTTTGGTGGAGGAGCTTAGACCCTTTATTGGTCAGCTTCACACTCGGCCATGTGATGTCATAGCTTCAAATTCTAGCTCTGTCCTCTGTTTCAGAAAAAGGAAGCAACTGCCTAAGGATCCACACCAAAATTACAAGGAACAGCTGGAATTATAGCAGTGTTTGAAGATTTGGAAATGAAACCCAAGATCCTGCTGAGATGTGATATTCCAATATTAATTGATTTAACAAAATAACAGATGGCAGGCAGTTTCCTGGTTGATTTAGGAAACTATAGATTTCATGACATTTTAATTTATACTCGGCTTCATCAATTGGGTGAAAACACGTCTTTTTTTCTTACTTTCCTCTTCAGAAAGAACAAAAACATCTGTCTTACCACTTTCTTTGCTATGACGGACACCCAGGAACTCATCGAAAGCATGGAGCACTGTGCTCTGAGCCGCGCTCCCTCCAGAGTACCCCATGGGCTCTGTGGAGACACCTTCATACACCAGGCCCACTGGCATCGCCGGGTTATCCTTCCATCTATGCAGGAATAAAGGTCAAAGGGCAGAAGCAGGCACTAGGAGTGAACAGGGCACTTGCTGATACTGAAATAAGCAAGGAAGGGAACCATGACTTCAGTGGTAGTTTTAGGGCACAGGCCTGGGAATCTTTGTAGGATGAGTACAGAAGCATCAGCTTGGGCTCACCTCACAACATGCCATGAAACTGCAGCCTTGCCCTTGCCCATGTAAAGGGTTCTTCCAAAGAAGCAGAGGCTGCTTAGGGCAGACTTTTGGCATTGGTTCTATGACATATTAATTGAAAAAGCTGAGTTATAATGATGTCATTAGTGCTGACCAGCACAATTTAGTGACCCTGGAAAATTCTCCACTTTATCTGCCAGTCTCAGTCCTGATGATTTCATGCTTGCAACTCTACAAATACACACACACACACACACACACACACGCACACACGCACGCATGCACGCAGGCACACACTCCTTTGCTCTCTCCTAAAAGCGATCACTGCAGGAATTGCAGCAGGAAGCTCTAAGACCCAGGTATGGCCAGCTCTCATGAGAATGGCTCTATCAGACACTTGTCTGTAGCAGATGTTGATAACCAAGGTGACAGCAAGGAGGACACAGCCCAACCTGCAGCTCCGCAGGGGCTGCAGTCAGGGTCACAGCAGGCCCGAGGCTGAGCGCAGTAGGCGCTCCCCTCCCTGGCACCCTCTCCTCTTTTGCCTTCCTCTGTGTTTTCTCCGAGCCCCTCTTCCTGCCTCCCTCCTCTTCAGTCCTTCCCCTACATCTGCTTCCCCATGGAGGAATAAAGGTCAAAGGTCACAGTCAGAAGTATGGTGGTGGCCCCTCAGGGCTGACAGGAAAGAACAGGAGCTCATCACATTTGCACACAATGCTTTCCAGCTCATTTTCCCATTCGCTCTTTTGTGAGTAGACAGTGGCAGGCAGTTTCTAACCTCCTTTTATAATTGAAGAAAGAAAGACTTAAAAAAGTCAAGTCTCCGGGATCACACTGGTAAAGAACAAGGGAATCAGAACTTGAACTCCACACTTGTGACCCTCTCCTTCCTATTTAATTTCCTTAAGAACTCCACTACATGAATTTCTATTTTTACTAGGAAAAGGAATCTTTTTCTCCTATTGCTGGGAATAAGCAACCTTCCCTATTTGGACAATTAGACCAACAGATTTATTAGTACACTGATTTTGTTGCCTTCTATCTATAATTCTAAGTCACTTTGCTGAAAAGGGTCAGATCACACATCAGGCTGTTCTATTAGGACAAAGGAGTCTACTCCAGTCAGACACGAAACTTAACCTTAACTTTGCCACTTATTAACTATAAGCCTTGGCTTTATTAACATTTCTGTGCCTCACTTTCCTCACCTGAGTATTATAATATCTACCTTTCAATAGCCAACATTACTATTAGGTCATCATGAAAACTAATTAAAATAACGCTTGCCCAGTGCCTGGGACATATTAAGCCTTAAATAACCATTAGCCATTTTTGTCATATTATTCAAACAGAGTTGGGATCCTTGCTTTCTCTTTCATTATCTAGTAACTGTGTACAAATCCTACTGAGTCTCGGTTCCCCCGATACTTACTAGCTTACCATACTTGTTAGGAGAAGGAAATGGCTCCAGAAAGGTTTTTGTGATTTCTCAAATGTCAGGGCCCCCAGTCTAACAAATTTCTGAGCAACATTTTATGGGGAAGAAATGTTGAAGACAGTACTGCAGCTTGCTGATGAATGGACCCAACACACACAGGCACCTTGCATGGATGTTTCTCTGTGAGCCGGGAGACGATCGATGGCCCCACTGGGCCTCTACTAAATGTTACTCTCATGGGTCAACGCCTGGACTCCTCACTATTCTCATTTCCCCAGTGATTGTACCTAGTCTCATAAGAAAGACTAATACTATTGCACTCACAGATTTACACATAGACCAGTACTTCTTGCCTATTCCCCAGACTCAGCTGTCTAATCACCCACTGGACAGCTCCGTAGACTGGACATCCCGAACAGACCTGCCAAACTCCTCCCCCTTCCCAAACATGTTCCTCCTGGAATCTTCCCACACGAGTAAATCACAAGTTGAATTATTTCACTGCATCAGGCTAAAACACCTTAGTCATTCTCACTGATCTCTTTATCTTCAATTCCATGTGATCCAAATAGTGAATCCGGTCAACATTAACACAGATCTCTGTCTCTGTCTGTCTCTCTGTCTGCCTGTCTGTCCATGCAGAAAATGACTAGTTCTCAGTACCTTCACTACTGCCCTTGTTCCACCCACCACCATGAATCACAACAGTGGCTTCTCTAATACTTTTCTTGTTCCCACCTGTGTTCTCAAATTGTCTACTTTCCACTCAGCAGATACAGTGATGATTTGAAACTAAAGGCAGATCCTGTCCTTATTTTTCTCAGAACTTGCCCATATTGTCTCACTCGCTCAGAAAGGAGGGTAATACACCCCCACATTAGGGGGTCTCCACCTCCTGAGTCTTCCTCTTTCTCCCCCATCCAATCCCCCTGCAGCTCTTCCCTCAGGATAAATCCCCTCCACCTCAAGGCCATGGCTACTGCCTTTCTTTCTGTGTGGCATGAGAATCTGGGTGGCTGACTCTTCGATTCCTTCAAGTATCTGCTCAAATGTCACAGTGTGGCATTCCCGGAAAACAAGAAATGTCAAGCGCTGCACTTCACATTCCCTCCCTAATGCCCTGTGCCCTGGTCTACATTTCCCCATATTGTCTATTGTCATGACCATTATTGCATGATGGGCATTGTATTAGATTCACTTGTTTATTCATTCATTATCTTCTCCTCTTTTCTAAGACATAAATTCCACAAAACCAAGCTGTTTCATTTCACTGCTCTATTCCCAGAACAACAACTGTGCCTGGCACACAGTACGCACTCCCTAAATATTTGATGAATAAAAGGCATTCTATAAATCTGTATGATATGCCCAGACTATGTAAGCCTAAATATATTTCTTGAAAGGGCCGGCAGGCATCTCAAACGGCCAAGCCCCATTAACCCACCTCCCTTTAGTGCAACGAACTGGAGAGGCCATATTGGCCACCCTGCAGGTGACAGGAAACACCTAAAAAGATAAAAGAAGCACATCTACTTTCAAAGTCCCCCTTCTTCAGCTATGGTGAGATGAGACTGTGGAGGAGAAATTGAATTTCTCTGAGTCCCAGAATCACCCTTCCCCCCCCCGCCCCCGCACTTGCAGGCCAAAACCACTGTTCCCGAAAAACAGGAATTACTTTCCTTTTGAATCTCTGTAGTCAAGGTTATTTTTAGATTTGCTTTTTGCATACGTCTAGCAGCCCCATGAAAAGGAGAAGTTTAAATGAAAAAAAATGAGATGACAAAAAGACTGATAACTTTCCTGAGAAGGTTTCATAGATGAAACCTTTCAGCTCTCCTATACCAAATGTATTTAAGGGAGTATATAAAACAAAAATAATAATAAACCCAACATAGGACAAATCGTGAAGAAAGAGCAGATTTACATTTTTCAAGATGAGCCTATCGGAAGACTTCAACCAATCAAAGTTTTTGACCATTTATATTTATCTGCACATTTAGGATTTGGCACTGGCCACTTAGCAATATGGGAACTATTTTAAGGATTTGAAATAGGGCAGGCATTTATGTAGATTGGAGATAACTTGTAGCATTGACCCTGAGCTTATTTTAATGAAAACAAAGTCACCACTGGTACGCATTTAATCATGAGAATTTCAGAATACATTGCTCATCCTTGTCAGATACCTTTGACATAAAAAAGTAGTAGAAAGACACTGTGGTGGGCAAATTTTCTAAAAATGGTTTCCTAAGATTCCTATCCTAATTCCTGGGGTAGTTAATATTACGAGCTAAGATGGTCAGTATAATATACGGCAAGAGAAAAGGGACTTTATAGATGCAGGAGAATTACTGTGCATTACTTAAACGAGCAGAACCTGACTGCAGAAGATGTTTAAAAGCACAGTGCTTTTGCTGGCAAATGGCAGAAGTCAGGAAGATTCAGAGACTAGAAGGATTCCAAGTGGCATTGTTAAGGTGGAGGGAGGCACACAAGAGGTGCAGGATGCCTCCAGAAGTGGAGAGAAGATTCTGTCTGATAGTCTGCAAGGAAACAGAGATGTCAGTTCCAGGACCACAAAACATTCGAGTTTGAAGCAAATCTTTGTCCAGATCATCAGTGTGGAGCCCAGCCCAATAGAGAGCCTTCTGAGACCCTAAGGAGAGAATCGAACTGAGCCTGCCTGGAATTCAGACCAGCAGAGCTGGGAGGTAAGAAACACACATTGTTTAAAGCCACTCAGTCTGTGGTAATTTGTTATGCAACCATGGAAAACAAATTCAGATTTAGAGACCAGAGTGAAGTGCAAAGGGCTTTTCCAGGATTACATGCTTCCTAAATCCCAGTTTCTGTATTTAGTGTCAATTTCCTTCATTGTCCCATGAACTTAAAATAAAAGCCCTTGTTTTTCTGATACCTAATCCTGCCAAAAGATACAGGGAAAGCCTAAACTCTGAGACACACCCCTCTCTGTCGCTCACACTTCCCATGCCCATAAAAATTACAGTGATAATCGACTTCCAAGGAGAAAAGGTTGATTTGGGCTCAGAGCCGCAGAAGTTCTGACCCATAGTTTTGAGAGGGTGACACTTGTGTGTGGTGGGACAGAGCTGCTTACCTCAGGGCACCCGGGAGGCAAGGCAGAAGAGGCAGGAGCAGGGCTGCCTGTACTCCCTTGGAGGGTACACCCCCAACTGCCACAATTCCTCGGCTCCTAAAGGTTCTCCCACCTTCCAACAGCAGGACAGGCTGGTACACAAGACTTCCTATGCCCTTTTGGGGACTTTCGTGTGCATACCATAGCACCCCTCACCTTGTCTTTCTTTTCCTTGCATAGCCACACAGTCACTACTCACAAGTTACTCTGGACACCCTCTGGCTTTCACTCTCTGAACCCCACAGTGAAGATTCCCCACCCAAAGTGAGCTCCACTTAAACCAAAGGGAATATTTGGCATATGTTGCTATTTCGTTTTTACCCCAGTAGAATACATCAGTGATAGAGTCTAGCATTTCATGGGCCTCTTGCTATTCCTAGGCACAGCTCAGGTTCTTCATATTGATTATTCTTCAGGCATCCCCTAGTTACCAATACATTGTACTAGATGATATCTGTTTTATTTTCCACATTAGCCATTCACTGCCTGGATTTTTCACTTTTTACCATTTAAACATTATTTTATGAAACCACTTCATTTTTCTTAGTTAATGTGAATAGGAAGGAAATATGATTTTAAAACATCAAGGTAGGAATAACTAATGTGTTTAGGACTAGAAATGTGTCTTCTAGAGGTACAACAGCATTCTCTATCTAGAGAAATTTCTAGCTATGTGACAGAAGAACAATACCCAGAAATATTGAAAATTGTCCGGTGCATTGTACTTTGTTCTGGCTGTTACACCAAAATTCCAGAAAGGGTAATTTGTGAGCAACAGGAATCCTCTCCCCACAGTTCTGGAATCCAAGAAGTCCATGGTCAAGGTGCTGGCAGGTTGAGTTTGGTGAGGACCTAGTCGCTGCTGCCAGATGGCCCCTCCAGTACTATGTCCTCATGGGGCAAAAGGGGGAAAAACGCAAAAAAAGGGCCTAGCTTTCTCACTTCAGCACTTTTTTCCAGTCCTGGAGATCAAATCCAGGGCCCCACAGTTGCAAGGAAAGTGCTGTACTTTTGAGCTACAACCCCAGCCCTCTCCAGCCCTTTTATGAGCACATTAATATCATAACATAGTCACCTCCAGAGGCCCCATCTTCGAACAAGATCACCTCAATGATTAATTTTCAACCGCTGGATTTTGGAGGGACAAACCATAGTGAGTGGCTGTTTAGGAATTTTAAAAGAATACATTTACATTGCTATCCCCACCTCTGCCTGCCTAAATAACAAGGGAAGAGAATGGATATAAGTGGCAGAGCTCTGTAGGAGGCATATTGGCCTGTCACCAAACCCTGAATATAAGTGCTTGTAATGTGGGGCCTAAAGAGAATCTCTCATCACTTAAATATTCAAGCCTTAATGTCATTTGTCATCCTGACAGTGGCCCACTTCTTTTATCTAAGAGTGGATCCAGGTAATTACTTTGCTAGCAAAGGTCACTTAGTATGTTTCATACTCTAGGAAGATTCTGTGTGTTGCTCCTCTCATAAATTTGGAAAATGCTACAGAAGCCTCATGTAAGAATGCAATTGAACTTACCCAGAAAGAAAGATCCGGATGACTGCATAAAATATGTCTGGGTCTACATAATCTGGAAAAGCAATCAAAACGTGAACTTTACTAGAAGCGAAAAGAGCAATTGGTTCCATGTGCCTGTTCTCCTGGGGCTGTTTCCTCCATCTGATCTGCATGAAGACCAGAATGGAAGTAGCAGCAAGACACAGATGGAATGTTCCCTTCTGTGGTCCCTTCGCTGGCCCTTACAGAGCTTTTAAACTATTCCATACGCTGGCCTTTTCTATTTATGGCACTTCCCTTTTCGGTACTCAATCGCAACAACAAAAAAGAGATCAAGGCCATCTTCAGAAATTAATATTTTAAGCAAACATAATATGTGAGAGAGTGTGGGCAGTGGGGAAAGGAAAAGCAGAGAAAATCCCTTCTACAGTGCTTTCACAGAGAGGAAAACCACATTCACCAGGGCTTTGGTGCAGGTCTGTGTAGTGTAAGGGGACCTGGGAGTGACATGGCCTTGCCAGGGATGCTGCCCAGGCCAGGTGCAGCTCTGTCTATTTCTAAGCCTCACGTATGAGTCTGTGCAGTGCATTAAGAGTCTGTGCTGATGCACATGTTATTAGCTTGTAAGGAAAAGATCATGCTCTTGTACAGTACTTGTATTAAATTTCTTTTCATCAACTTTGGAAGGTTGTTCTTTCTCCTCTTCACATAATGGGGCTCCTCTGACTTCTGTGATCTAGTACACATGCATTTTACCCAGATTCCTGTCTATGCCTTTTTGCTTCTGAGGGAAAAAGAAACATCTTTGGAATGAGGCCTACTAACAACATCTTTCCATCATCAGTTTCCCTTTCCGGCTCTTGCACAGCTTTCTGGTCCCTCACCTCTTCACCTTGCCTCTTTGCCTTGAAGTCTCCCTGGTCCAGTGGTTCATGTTTTCCTTCAACCTTGAGGCTTCCAAATGCTCCTCTGTGAGTCACAGCCATCCTCTCAGAGCTGCCAGTGCCCCATGTGGTAGGCTTTTCTTGGGCCTACTTCCAGATCTTTCCCTGTTGCTGCTCAGTTCCCACCCAAATTGCTAAGCACTATATACAACATTTTACTGAAGAAACAATGGCATACAATAACTTAGTATTTTATTCAATTTTACATGGAGGAAGAGAAGTCAAATGATTATTTTAATAGATATGAAATATTTTTTATGTAAAATAATTTCAACAGATGTGAAAAGATCCCACTCGTAATTAAAACAACCAACTAAAAATTTGAGATAATTAGGAATAGTTGGGAACATCCTTAAACTTTACAAGGAAACCATAGGAAGACTAGAATACATATTATATTTAATAGTAAAATGTTAAAACCAACTCAACTAAAAAACTAAACAAGAATCAACATTTCTCTTAAGTACTGTGTTACATACAGTTTACAGCCAGAAGAATAAGAAATAAATTTCTAAGAAATAAAAGTTATAAGTATTACCAATGAAGAATGCAAACATTTCTCAAATGGTATAACTTTTATACAGAAAACCCAGAGAATCTCTAGGTAATTACTAAAATTAACTATAGTGCTTATCAAATGCTAGATTCAAGATTAATGTTCAAATATCAACTTTATTCTAAATATCAGGAATGAATAATTGGAAAGTAGTTCAGTAAAAACATACATATTCATTAAAAACAAAAGTACCATGTAACTATGAATAATGCAAAAAATAGGTAAGTCCTTTACCTTGAGAAAAATTAAATTTGAAATTAAAGAAAAAATAGTAAATGAGAAAGATATGCACTTATTTATCATGTTCATGGACAAGAAAATTCAGTATCTAAGAGAATAAATGCATTGAAGAGAAGAGTTCTCTACCTGCATGTATGTCAGGCCATATGCCAAATATTCAGAACTATAAAGAAATGGGTTGAAATAATTCATCCAGGGACTTTTGCTAATATTTCACATTATTCTTTGCCTCTCCATCTGCATTATTCATGAGGCACAAAGATGGGATATAATAAAAATCATCTCCCTTTACTCCAAATTAATATGTATATTTAATGCAACCTAAGCAAAATTCCCAATGACGGCTGTTTCAACGGCTGTGTGGCACTGGATGAACTAATGCGAGTGGGTCCTAAGCAGGCCACACACGGGAGCAAACCAGAGGGAGGAGTTTGCTCTCTCCCAGAAGCAAGGAATAATGTGAAGCTGCAGGGTTAGAGGCAGATGGTATCAAAGCAGGAAAAAACAAGCAGACAAAGAACCAGAAGAGAGATCAGAATACAACAAACTGATTCATTTCAGAAAGTCTGATATGAGACTGTGCTAACGTTATAGAATAGTTTCATCCGCAGGAGATTAGCTGGATTTATTTTCAATCTCCTACGATACACAGATAACTACATATGAATTAAGAATCCAAACATGAAAGGCAAAGCAACAATTTTAGATGAAAATATGAAGAAATGTATTTATGACCCATGCCTATGGAATATTTTAGGTAAGAACTCTTACAACAAACACATTTACAAATGACTGAAAGTTTGAATACATTTAAATGAAGAACTTCTGCTTACAAAAAGCATAAGACAAACTACAACATTTGCAGTACATATAAAAAAATCAGCCTGCAGAGTGTACAAAAAAAATCAATAAGTAAAAGGTATTACAAAACTGTTGAATGACATGTATCCTAAGGAAAATGAATGTGAATAGTGAGTAGTTGCTTATATGGACATACGTACACACACACACACACAAACTGAGGAGACAGAAACAGAGAGAGATGGAAAGAGAAGATAATGACCATTTCAGAAAGAAGAAAAATGCCACTAGACCCACAATTAAGCTCTCTTTACTCCTAGTAGCCTGGCAATAAATAATCAAGTAAATGAATGAATAGGTAATTAAATAAAGCTAACAATATTAGATGTTGGTAAGATAAAATTTCAACTGAGTGTAAGCATGCAGTGATAGCTGGTAACGTAGAAGATGCACATACCTCCGCACTGAGCACTTCAACTCCTTGGCTTCTACCTGGAGCAATCTTTACAAATATACACAGGAGCTATGGACAAGAGTATTTGTGGTGGCCTTGCTTGAACAGCCACAAAGAAAGCCAGAAATTCCATTCACTCATAAGGAAATAAAGGGGAAATTTTCCAAGGTTTTTTGGAGAGAAAAATATCATTCATTTTCTCTGAGAAAAAATAATTTTAGAGGAATCATCAATAAATATACCAAAATAGGTGTGTAAACAATCCAAATGTTTGAGAAAAGGAAATTATCATAGCGACAGTTGTACCTACTGAAGCACCATGTGAAGCATTCAAAAAAAGAGCCCGATGCAGACCTTGTAGGTGTGTGATGTTGAGATGAATGTGTGTTATTTTTAGCGCTCTTATGTACCTCTGTCTTATGGTGAGCCAGACTCTCAGAATAGAGTAGTCTGGCTTCCACAGTCAGTAGTGAGTGCTATTAAAACTATAAAGCTGGGCAGAGGCCAAGCAGCCTAGGTTAGAATGGTGATTCTCTGAAATCTCAATTGGATCTATGAAGGCCATCTTCTGTTTCCCTCTGGCCTCAGCAGGCTACAGCCTGGAAATGCAATATTTATGGCAGAAAGAGGTGGAGCACATGGGGGCTTGCTGAAGCTGCACTCTAAAAGAAGCAATTGTTTGATTAGCTCTATTTTGGGGATTGGGAGCAGAGGGTCACAGTCTAGTCAAGCTCTATCATGGAGAGGAAAGTGAAGAGCTATAAACCAGAAACAATGCCTAGAAAATTGTGTATGGTTCCTTAAACCATGTAGCTTCTAGTATTTCTTTATATTTTTATTTTTATAACCTAAGTTTGTGGTCACTACTGCAACATAACAAGCCACTCCCTTCTTAGTAGAGCCATGTTCCGCTGGTCAGGGCGCAGGCAGGTGGCACTGGCTTGTCTCTGCCACATGGAGTCTGCGCCATGCTCGCCTCGGAGCACGGCAAGCTTTTCCGGCTGTCTCAGCACACAAGGCGCAAACTGCCTCATGTCTAGCCTTGCCTCAGCAGTCATAACTTGCTTCCTGTCACAAGCAGGGACCCAGGCTCTATCCAGGATGTGAGAGGTGTCCAGTCAGTCACACTGAGGAGGAGTTCGTGAAATGGCAGGGGAGAATGCTGTGGCTCTCTTGGGAAAATGCAGCTATAGCCGCGTCATTACCATATAGATGCACATGACCAGTAGTAAAACGTTTCCAATGAAACATGACTGGGAAATTTACCTTTGGGGGAAATGGGAAGGTACCCCTGGGACCTCCCCAAGCCATCCGCCCTCCTGGAGAGGATGATCAGGGCAGCAAGGAGTGTTGGTTCTGAGCATCTAACGTAACCTGAAAATGACACCTGGGGAAGCCTGCACTGGTCCCACACTAGGTAAGCCTAGGCTTTGCACCACTGGGTACAGAGTCTGTGGTGGCCCCCAGAAAGCATGCAGCTGTGCTCCTTTCAGGGGCCTGTCACCCGCGCTGTCTCTGGCCACCTTGTCCTGAGCACTGAATGCAGGATGTCTTGGCAGAGACCACGTCATCTCACAGGAGCTTGTGGGGCAGGATCACTACTGAGGTGACCATGGAGAGAATTAAGGCTAAAATGAAAGACAATGGTGAAATTGCAAATGTAAAATGGAAAGCAGGGATATGACACATAACTGTGGATTTCCCAAAGCGCAGCATCTGGGATGTCTAATAAATTCATTCTTTCAATATACAAAGCCCCGTATCATCTCGTCTCCGGCCCCTCTCTCCTCTCCTGCTTCTGTGAATGTCCCTTTCCTCAGAATCTCTCTTCCTTTCAGTGGAGCAGGATTCAGGAAAGGGATACTGAGACTTGCTTTTCGCTTGCTGATAGGTCTCACCCCTCATCCAAACCTTCCTTAAAAACCCGACATGGTTTTTAGATTTCTCTGATAGAGGAAATTAAAGAGCCTCTCAGATACTGGACACAGAATAAGAAGTGACCACTTAACTGACCACATCTGTGAGAACTTGTGTCTGCCTAGCCACAGAGAGACTGAAGCTGACAGTCCTGTAAGGAAGAAACAGCAAGAGAAAAAGATACAAGGGGCACCAAAGAGTGGAAAGACGGACTCCCTCCAGCTGGCCCTGTGTGGAGCTCTCAGGATCATTAAGACAGGGTTGGCCTGGTCCCTCCTCCCAACCTCAGCAAGACTTCAACACTACAAAGACATGTCTTCTCCCAAGACAGAAAACTGTTGGAATCACAGCAAACACAAAGGACAAACTGCAAACATATAGCAAGTTAGTTTGCCTTAAAACAAATGTAATACACTACTGCCATCCCGTGGACAAACTGATTATCGCCCACTCAGGCAGCCTGGCTCCAGGCCCTCTTGCCTCAAGCAGAGCCCTTCTAAACCAGGCAGTCCTTCCTGAGTAACTCACTCACCATGCATTTGTCCCAAGGCACTCGTGATGTCTTTGATTGAGAGTCTCAGGCACTGCAGGGCCTTAAGCAAGGCGTCCTCGTTGGGCTGCAGGATGGCGCCGGTGGCTTGAGCCAGGGCCTGGGGGCAGAAACATTATCCTTAGTGCTGGGAGGCTGGGCCCAGGGAGGCAGCCCCTGGCTGCAGAGCTCCGGGAGTCAGCTCCTGAACTACATCGGCAGAAGGTCGGCCCGAGGGCCAGGGTCTCCATGGGCAACTCCTGGACTGCGCTGCTTAGGTTTCTCTGGCTCTGTCCATTCACTACTACTTCCTGTACTGCTCCTTTATCTGGATTTATCACATTATATTTCTAATTTTGCATCTCTAACTAGGACAGCCGTACACTCCAAAACTCTGTCTGACATAAAATCAGACAGATTGAAAAGATCCCCACTCCACTCCAGAGCCACCTCTGCCACAAAGCCTTCCTTGTTTTACCGCAGTCCTTACACTGAACTGCACTGAGAAGGCTGGTATTTTATTCTGTGCCTGCCGGAGGCTTAGATACATGGAGGAGAACTCGAGACCATATGGTTCACTTTTGGGGTAGAGTGGGGCAATAGAGGCCGATCTGGCTAAGCATGCATGCTGCCCCTGAGCTGCACCCCAGCCCCTGCCTTGTTCAGAGACTGAAGAAGGTGCTGCACTGATCTTAGTGGCACTGGGCTCCTTGCTCAGAACACCGTAGGCGCTCAGTACGTGCTCACCAGGGGAGGTGCTGAAGACAGGCATAAGCAACATAAATACCTTTAGGCAAAGCATAATATTCTAGCTGATCACACGCTGCTCATGCTTTTTGTCTTCTATCTGGCCTGTCTGGTATCTGATCGATTCTTCAAAATTCTCAAGCTTGTAACCCCTAGGGCTGGGTCATCTCGGTGATGCCTTCCAGTGCTGAATGCTTCTCATTTTATTTTCCTTTGAGCCTTTGCATGGTGGTTTTCTCTGCCAGAAATCAGTCTCCCTGCATCCCTTTTCCCTGCTGCTCTCTTTCTCCTTCCTGTATATCAGGTGTTATCTTAGCTGTCATTTCTCTGGGAAATCTTTGTCTGACCCTTCAAGTCCAGATTAAGATTCAGCTGTCATTTTGTGAAACGCTGCACTTTTCTTCCCTTTACCCTACATTAATTCATTTTCCTCCACTGAATCCTGAGCTTGACAATTTGTAAAGTTCGGACAATTTGTCTCATGTGCCTTGATTTCCCACTCCTAGAGCAAAGCCATTGGTGAATGGGAACACAGTCTGCTCCAAGATTCACAGCAGTAAGGGAGCTTTCACTGTCAGCTTGAACTCAGACTTGAAGTAAGGACAAGACCTACAGCTATCTGCTCCAAGGGCAAGGCTGGGAGGGAAGGAAAACTCAGATTAACTTCTCATTTAAGAGGGAAACAAAGTACCATGAAGTGAGAAGATACCTTAATCCCAGGCACTGCTGCTTTCTCCACCAGAACTGTCACCAGCACGAAGCCACGCAGGCTCTCTCCCCCGGGAAGTGACACAATGGTCTCCAGGTTACTTGGAAAGGAGATGGTCACACTGTCAGATGTATGGAGACAGAGTCTGTCCACAGCCCTCACTGAGTCAGATAACTACAGGAGGAGTGAGGGGCCACTTCTCCTCTCCCAGACAGCCTCAGGGTCGAACTACACCTCCAGCAATGCTCTGGGAGGGAAGCAGGAAGGTCAGGTCAAGCTCAAATCTACCTGGCCCGCAGCTCTCGGCGAGTATGGCCCTGAAAATCCTAAACTATCTGAGGCGAATGCTGACACATGCGCTGTGGCGGGCACACAGAGCCTCTTTATCCACATGCTCGTCAAGTCGCCCCAGCAGCCAAGCTCCTGATGACTTGTTTTTTCCTAAACTAAAACCTCAATATTCAGGTTGGATTGCAGTGTGGCTCCTTGCGATAGTGGGCTTTAGGTTGCAGTTTGGGCACTCCTCTCTACAAGGCTCAGCATCACTGTGTCCAGGCCATCATCCCCATGGAAGCGTCTGCTGAAACAGTGCCTAGTGAAAGGCACAGCTGACTCCTCGGGATCACTTCATTCTGGTCCAGAGCCAGAGCCCGAGAGCCTCCAACCCCGTCGATAACACCACTTGCCTTTTGCAAGCTGTGCAACTACCTTCCAGAGATGCAAAACAGTTTGCCCACAGCCACATAGCTGGGTAGGCACAGGACCAGAAGGGGAATAAAGTAGTTCTGTAGCCAAGCCAGTACTCCTTTTAACCTGCTTTACAGAGGAGGAGCTGGGAGGCCTTATAGAAATTGTTGTAAATGATCTGTCGTCCTTTAAAAGATTCAGGCATCACAGCCGTATCCAGTGCACAAAACCTATCAAGTTAACTTTATGCGTGACTTTCAACACTAACATCTTAAACATGAAAAAAAGACAAACAAACCAAAACAGAACAAAACAAAACAAAGTCTAGAATGTCACTGTTCCAGTAGTTATTACACCAGCCTGGGCAGCCAGAGATACTCCTTCCCTCCCCTATCTCCTGAGCTACAACTTCCTCATCCTGATGTCCTTTTATGGAGCTGAGGCTGCATAACAGCAGGGACAGGGCCTGAGAGGTAGCCTTGGTCTCCAGGGACAGGGGAGTCCTAAATGGGCCACTGAAAGGGGTTCTTCCTTATGCACAACCTCTGCCCACAATGGGGCCTCTCAGAGAAGTCAGAGTAAAGTAAATCTTCTTCAGGCCTTTGGACTCTAAAGAATCGCAGGAACTTGATGAAGTTTTTGTTTCTTTGTACTGCATTTTACTTACTTTATGAGATGCAGATTGGAAAACACAATAGGATGTTTCATTTCCTTATCTTTACAAGGCAGAGCCAATGGTTGCTAATTTTTAGAATTTTCGTTTTCAGCACATTTCTTTGTCTTTTTTCACGCATTTCTACAGAGTTGAGATTCTACATGTGTAAATTGGCATGCTTTCTCTTTTATTCTATTACAAGTTTTTATAATAGTATGAATGCTTAAGTAACTAAAAGATTTCTGGCCACTTACCTGATTTCCAGAGGTCTAGTCAAATTCATTGCCAACCACAAAGAGAAAAAGAAAAAGGAAGAACAATTCAGTGTGTGCACCAGACATACCTCCTAGGTCACATGCACACTCATGTGAAATACACACGCAGGTGCTGTCATACACACACACCTTGAGTGTAACAAGTTGGGACTGAAATATGGGCCACTGGGTGATAAAGAGTGAGCTGAATCTCAACTCAGCTATCGGCCCCTGTGTACCTGGCCTGACCACCGGACCACCCGGAATACTTTCCTCGAAAGAAGAGCAATTATTTTCATTTTGACTGAACCTGGCCCTATTTCCATGTATTGATATGTGCAGAGCTGGCTAGGACTTTTCCTTATCCCTTTAATTATCCAGCTGAGGTGTGGATGTGTAGCCTTTGGAGCAGAGGACAGGGTAGTGTTACTTCACCCCTATAGCTCCCCAAAAACCTGTCAGTTGGGATCGAGCCTTGAGATAAGAGGCTATGACTTCCGAGGGCATAAAAGATTACACATCAGAGCTGAAGCACCAACTCTAAAACATTAGATACTACCTTGAATTGTGTTATGCAGATTACTCCTTCTGCATATCCTTCTCTCTGCATAGTGCAGAAATAACTTCAGACCACCTACCTTGCCCAGCTCACTATTTCCCACCACCCTCAGGGTCACTCATCCCGGAGCCACTCCCCTCGTCGGGAATTAATAAAACCTGGGTTTGACCTTGGGTCAAGGCCTTTGTTCCAGTCAGCCATCATTCTTGCTGGACTCGGGACCCCCTTGGCTCCCCACCACCTTGGATATGTAATTGTGTCTCTGTTTACGCTGTGTGTTGCACTGGAAGTAGTAGATTGGAATTAATTTGCTAGAATTCCAAGAACTTTCCTTTGGGATTGCAAATATAAACTTTTTGGACCAAGATGAAGACTGGGAAGAGCACTCTATAGTTATCTTGATAAATTATTTTATTCCTTTTATACTATTGTAACTGCCAAAGCCTCACATTTTCATTATCCTCTCCTTACTCATTTTTAAACAGTTGCCTTAAATCAAGTTCTGCACCCCTCACCACACTTTTTGTGATTTTTAATACCTGCACTGATGTCTTTTGCTGAAATTCTAAAGAACACCTGTAATCCCAGAACCTGGGAGCCTGAGTCAGGAGGCTGAGCTCCAGCCAGCCTGGGCTATGTAACAAGATCCTGTCTCCAAAATAGGATGAAATATTGTTATTATTGTTGGCATTGTTTGTTTATATTGTCCTTTGGCATCTGTTACGCACTTCTTATTATTTAACGACTTCGGGTATACTTTACTTTTATTTATTTCATTCCATCACAGTACTAAGCTCCCACTAGCCTATAAAAGACTACAGAAGTTCATTACCAAAAACAACTGGGGAGTCCTGGCTGTGTCTGTTCACCGGAGTTAATGAATCCAGCCCTGCACTGTCACTTCAGAAGATCATAACTTTCTCATCGTATTTTCAATTTTCCTAGCCCAGTCCAGTTGTTTTTTCTTCTCTTTCTCTTAAATCACAAATCTAGCTGATTTAATATTCTGTGTATTGACCAGGGTAAATCATGTACATATCCGTTATTTCATCCCACCCAAATTCTAAGCCAGATTCAATAGCTTTCATTGGCCATGAGTTTTGTTATCAAAGCATAATTGGTGAGACAGCACAACTGATAATTATAGAAAACAACATTCAGAGCTCAAAGGTCCTCTGAGAGATGAGATGGCCCAATCTTACCTCTTCCAAGGGGTATATAAATTAGTTCTAAAGCTAAGGCATCTTTGAATATTTCATCCTCCACTGTCACTTCCTGCAGCAATCCCATGGCTGCCTCCAACTGTTATCCTGAGGAAGTTCTCCCTCCTGTCTGACCTCAGTGACTGCCTGGCTGTTTTAATCCATCACAGAGTGAGTGCTGTCTATCTATTGCATCTAAGCATGAAATACATTTGGCTGTCTTGATGTTTCTCACTCATTCTGGGTAATGGATTTTTTGTTTGTTAAAACATCATGCTATTTCTTCTACAGACAAATGCTCCTATTCTGAGGACAACTGTCACAGAAAGACTAAGTAGAATAACCAAAATTATTAACCAAATTCTCCTTACACCACACCTAAAGCACCAACTCTTTTTTTTTTTTGGCATATTTTGACCCACAGGGGTTGGGCGTCTGGACGCAGCATGGCAGGGGTGCTGTGTCTGCTCCAGGGTAGCTGAACTGGAGTCATGGAAGGCTCTTCCATCCACATTTCTGGTGCCTGTGCTGCAGACTTAAAAGCTGGTTGGACAGCGAGGACTGATGATCTCAGGGCCTGCACTTCAGCCCCTCCTGTGGGTGGGGCTCCTCACAGCATGGTGGCTGGGCTTGCAAGAAAGGGTGTCCTTCGAGGAATGGTCTAGAGAGCCATTTGCACAACACTCAGTGACCTCCCCTCATACATCCATGGCAGACTCTACTCTTCTTTTTCTAATTCATGTATGTTTGTGATACGTGATAGTGACATTCACTGTGGGAAATCGCTATATGCACACACTGTATCTTTATCTTGTCAACCCCTTTACCTCCCATTCTGTTCCCATCTCCTCCCCTATCCCAGCCCTACCCCATCTCTACTCAGTCTACCTTTTTGTTTCCTACCATTTCTTTTCTATTTTACTGTTGATTTATATTTTAGGTTTCTCATATAAGAGAAACCATCTGATACTTAGCTTTCTAAAGCACCTCCTCTTAATTTACCCTTAAGCATTCACTATGTAATGGTCACTTGCTGAAACCCTGGTCCTCAGTTGACAAGGATGGAGGGTATATTAGAGAATAAAGAGTTTGATGAGAAAGGAAAAGTACAGTCCAGCTATGCAGGAGTTTAAAAATCAGGTTGAGAAATTCATATGTGATGTGAAGCAAGAAAAAAAAGTGGGCCTGGGCAATGTATGAGGTGTGGGTTGAGAAGGAAACTTGTGGGGCTTGAGATTATTGAGCTTATTTTACAGTTCATCCTGGAACCATAAAGGAGATACACATGTACATCCCTAATTCTAAAATAGCTGTAAAAGCCCATGCCTTCCATGGAAGGAGAGTTCAAAGGCTAAGTCCACTGCCTGCTGGGTTTCAATGTACAGAGAGGAGCCCAGGGCTCAGTCTTTCTCCCTGCCTTACCCTCCTGGGTCTTTTTTAGTCCAGTTCGTCAGCACCACATCAGCATGGACCAAGATAGGAGGGAGTCCCAGGATCCTGGAGACTTCCACAAAGGGAATGGCAAGATTTCTTGGCAGTACCTTCAAGATATAAATCCTGGCAGTTAGCACATTCTAGAAAGAACACATCAGGGGAAATGATATATTCCAGCAATCCTGTGGTGCAGAGAGGACCAAGGACCAAACATGAATTACCTGGTGACTGATCCCTTTTTATGGGGTTGGCACAGTTTTCTGTGAACAACCCAGGAGAAATACTGCTTCGCAGGACATGCTGTGACATATGTGAAAACACAAAGTCGAAACTCACACAAAGTTGGACAATGAGAACATGAAGAGAATTATGAATATGTGTAGGCATAAATTGGGGGCTGAGGAAGTAAAGAGTGGGAAAAACCTTCTTCAGATACACATAGAATTACAGATATAAATATAGATAGGTAGATAGATAGCTAAGGGGTGCATGTGTGTGTGCAAATGTGCATGTGTGTAAATCAGGGAGACCAGAACACACTGGAGAGGAAGAGGAGGACTGGATACTCAGCCTGTGTATTACCCACTGTTGGTCAATTCAGAGGTCAAAACCAATAACAACGTTCAAGGAAGGCCCAGAGACAGACCCCAGCCACCCTCTGTCTGCTGTTCTGCCTCTGTACTACTTCATATAATTTCAATCTGCACTTTGGGAAGTGAAGTCCCCAATTCACACCTCTTGGTGTAACAACACTGAAGCATAACTGCTTCCCTTAAACCCAAAAGACACCTGAAGTCACAGGACCAAGTCCACAGCCCATTGGATCAGCTGCTGACCTCCCGAACTTGTCCTGCAGACACCCACCAAGCCCTGCCTGCCCATGACCCAGATGGCTGCTCCACTCCATGGGGTTTTCAGCTGTGGTAAAGGTTAAATTAGTGTAGATAGGAAAAAAATTCTTAAGCTCCTCACCTCCCAGCTCTTTCCCTTTGATGATAGAAATACCTAGCAAAGAAGCTCTATTTCTATCCTTTCTGAAGCTTATGTTTTTAGGCAAATGTGGGATAGTTTTGGGTAGGAAGCAAAAGAGCTTTAATGAGTTTTGAAACTGAAACCGAAGGGTGGCTTTCCTCAAAAGCAAGGGGTGAATGGAGGTCTTGGGCAAATGAGAGTCCAGGGAGGAGACAGAGGAAGGGAGCCCCTGAGCGAGTGCAGGGCTGGGAGGGAGGAGACCTGCGGAAGCCTGGTGCTGCCTCTAACTTCCCGCCTTCCTTTAATTTAGGAGAATATCCCTAGGGCATGGTGGAGAAACTTTCAGAGACCCGATGCCCACTGCAAACCCAAACCCACTTATTTGTGCAAAGTGCCAACACCGCAATTAAACCTGAATACTGAGATTTTAGTTTAGAAGAAAACAACTCTACATTAACATCTTGTTTTAAAAGAAAAACACAGTAACGTGTGTGCCATAGGTTCGCCACTGCTGCCCTGGGGAGTAGATGGTACAGGGGACTTTTTGGAACATTGTGCTGAGATTTTAAATGGTTGTGTATCAGACACACAGTTTGTCACTGTCCTGTCTCAGCATTTGCGGGAGGGAGGAAGGGGCTCACTGAACTTTAGAGTTCTGGGGTGGGTAATGTCTTGATTTCTGGGAAAAGTGTTCTGAGACAAATGGAAAAGATTTTTGATTCACACCGTGTGTGGTGAGACAGGAAATTCATGTCCCAAAGTGCAGTTTGAGACTATAAAATATTGCGTGAAGTCAGAAGCAATTTGAATAAATTATCAAGAGATAGACTAATAATCGGCTTTAAAGAAAGTAGTATTAAACAAGTAATGATTAATGGTAAATGACAATGTGCCTTTCTAGTAGGGAAAGAAAAGAACCCTTCACTTAAATGGGCCCTTTACAAGTAACTGATTCGTTTTCAAATGGGCAAATGATCTGAACGGTCACTTCTCTAAAGAAGAGATACAAATGGCCAACAAATATATGAAAAAGTGCTCAACATTTTAACCACTGGGGAAATGGCAACAAAAGCTCCAGTGAAATTCCACTTCACCCTAGGGGGAATGGCTATTATGGAAAAAAGCTGGCAATGGTTTTTTTGAAAAATAAACCAGTATAGACTGTTGGTGGGAATGTAATTCAGTACAGCCAGCCACTATGGAAAGCAATACGGAAGTTCCGCAAAAATCTAAAACCCTGAATGTACAAGCCAAAGGAAATAAAGTCAGAGCACAAAAGAAATCTTCTTACTCTTTGTTTACTGTGGCACTATTACCCGAGTCCAGGTGTGGAATCCGCTACCTACCCACGGACAGACGACCGGGTAGAGAAAATATGGTGTATATATTCACAATGGAGCATTAGCCATGAAGAAGAATGAAATCATGTCCTTTCCAAGAAAATGGACTGAACTGGAGGGCGAAATTGGCCAGGTTAAGCAAAATTCGCCAGTCACAGAAAAATAAAGCTCACGTGTTTTTGCTCATGCGTGAAAACATTACAGACAGCAAACACAGATGACCTCAAAGTAGAGGAAGTTTTAGTAAAGGTGGAGGGGGCAGATAAGGCGGGGTTGTAGGTGGATATGAGCAAAGCATGACATTCGTGGGTGTAAATGTCACGGTGAAACCCACTGATTTGTGCATTTATAGGACTGAATAATTGTAACGTAATACAGATTGTTTTTAAAAATAAGTAAGTAAATGGACCCTTTCCCCTTCCTTCAGCTGATACCCAGCAAAGAACAAGAAAGGACTCGTTCTCCAGCTCAACCCCTAGCAGGCTGGTGCAGGGACAGGACCAAGCTGCAGGGCGCGCCGTGCGCCGCCCGCCCCTCCGCGCCCCGCACGCCCGCCCC